GTCAGTTCCCAGTCAAAGTTACATCATCTCACTTTTACTGAAAAATGAGCCTTGTCACATCAACACATCAGAGGAGCACAGTATGTACTGATACATGAGGTAATCAGGGACCTCAGCACCTTACATACAGTGTAAAAGGACAGCGCGGTTATTGTGTTAAAGTGACAGTCCACCCCAAAAATCCAAAATACATATTTTTCCTCTTATCTGTAGTATTGTTTATCAGTCTAGATTGTTTTAGTGTGAGTTGGTGAATGTTGGAGATATCAGCTATATTCAGCTATAGCCTATATAATAGTTACAATCAACCAACTCCTTGCTGGCTCCTAACATCTCCTCTTCTTCATCTTGTGCAGGGATCATCCTCTCCTTGGCCTTCCAAATGTGGTGATCATACCCCACTATGGCACCAACACCTACACTACAACAAGAAAGATGGTGCAGAGGATGGTAGAAAATGCTGTGGCTGCAGTGAACGGCCAGTCTGTTCCTAATGAAGTCAAACCAAAATGACTTCACTGATGGTGCTTCATCTGTCTGCAGTTAGGAGTGTTTTCCTACTCTAAGATGATGTACATAAAGTTAACCTGTTAGGTTGTTTGATAAACATGATAATTATTGTTACATCAGGATAACTAATGCACCAAATGCATTTCATTGTGCAACTCTGTCTTGTAGAATGAGTGCTGAGTTTGTAAATAGATTTTCACTTGTACACTTCTACTCTGACTTCTTCAATTATTTGATTGTTGTGTTTTTGTCGTCTTCTGTCTCCCATCTTCAAAAGGGAACATAGCTTACAGCATTAAGTGTTCAACTCCAGTGTTACACATTAAATTGTAAGAGGGAGATGAAAACCCAGATATAATACACCTTATTTGTTTTTATCAGATGTAATTTTATCAGTTTTTTGAGAGGTCATAATAGCTGGCTTGTTTGTTGTTATGTTAGAAACACAGTCAAAGAGTAATTCAACACAAAACAGATATTTGGTGTAATCTGAAACACTTGAGCATCATGGATGTGATATTTGCCAACAAGACATACAAGCTTTTGAACATTGTTAGTAGGTTGTGAGCCTGATTATGTCTTCTGATACTGGTGTTAATCTATTTAAAGATAAAGATAAATTAACAGAGAAGCTTCTAAACCTTCAGTTGAACTTCTTTTATTTGCAATGAGGAATTAATTGTGGTCTGACCAAACTTTCTCTGCAAAGATTTCCAGAAAATGTAGTTTCCATAAAAGAGCTCACTTTGGAAAGTAACTCTGATTTGAGGTCAACATTTTTCTGACATGGTGATTATAACGTGTACGATCAAATAGGTCTTTCTTTTCTTTGTCCCTTTATTTATCACGGGAGAAGGTACAGAACAAGTCGGGGAATACAAGTACACAAGTTCAAGGATGGAAGAAATTGGACCAAGATGTGTAAAAACAAACTAGAAAGCTGGGGAGTGTGCCTATGTTCCCACAGCTCTATGTTCCCACAGCTCTATGTTCCCACAGCTCCATGTTCCCACAGCTCCATGTTCCCACAGCCCTATGTTCCCACAGCTCCATGTTCCCACAGCCCTATGTTCCCACAGCTCTATGTTCCCACATTTCCTTTTTGCATATGTATGTATATATACACAGTGGCGTTTTTACATGTAAACAAATGGTGGGGCACCAACCACTTCATGATACCAGGAAAACTACAGTGCTCTCTCTTGATACAGCATTGCAAGCATGGCTCCATAAAACACCTTTTTTTTTAAGACAAAATGGCTTGCCTCTAGCAGGTCTTACATATCTTGTACAGAGTGTGTGAGAGTGTGTGCGTGTGTGAGAGTGAGTGAGTGAGTGACCTAAATTAACAATGCAATATTCCATGTGATAAACTGTCAAAACCAGTAATCACCGGCGCTGTGTTGGTTACTCGTCGGCCTGGCTCGTCTGCTCCATCGTGCGCGATGGCGGCCAATTCATCAGTTTGCTCCCGCATTTTCTGTACATTCTCCTTGAAATGGGAGAGCGCACTGTTAATCCAGGGTCCATCAATGCTCCGTTTTTGCAGAGTGTTGTACAAAATATCCACTTCTGGCATAAGCATGGAAAAGAATTCCAACAGCTGCAGAAAGGCTCTGTCCCGGAGTTCCTTTGACAGGCCGTAAGCTTCACTTATAGTGGCCTCATCCCATCCCGGTTGTGTACGTATGTCCTCCATACACTGTAGCAGCGCAGCACGGTTCTCCCAAACTGCACGGACAGTTCTGCTTTTAACGTTCCAGCGCACTGCCGGTGGCCTTGGGATGCGTCCCTGGGTTGCCCCTGCAAGAGCCGCAACACGTTTTGGGGCGCCAGAAAAAAATGTGGCAAAAGCAGTTAAATCAGCAAAAAACACCTTCAGGATGCTCATCCGTGCTGAACAAAGTTGCTGCAAGGTCAGGTTCAGCTGGTGGGCGTAGCAGTGAACAAAGTGGGCATGTGGGTATGTCTGTCTCATGAGCGTCTGTACCCCACGGACGTTCCCACTCATAACAGCCGCTCCGTCATAAGTTTGAGCGATCAGCTTTTCTCCCAACTTCAGCGGTTCCAGCACATCTTTAATGCTATTACAGAGTCCCAGTCCAGTTTTATCTTTGACCTCAACAAACTCCAAAAACCTCTCTGTCACTGTATTGTTGGGCAACATGTAACGCAGCACAACCACCATTTGGGATTTACAAGAGACATCAGTTGTCTCGTCTGCTTGTATGGCGACAAATGATGTCTTGTCCACTTGCTTGGCTATCTCATCTCTGTACACTTAATATATACAGTCTAATAGTTCATTTTGTACAGTGCTGGATGTCCCTTTGAAGATCGGTTGTGCGTCATAGTGCCTCTGGAGCCTCGTATCTCCCTTGCACATCGTCTCAAAAATGCACCTGAATACTCCCGGATTCAGAGAGTCTGCCGACTCTTCATGGCCCCGCAGTGCTGTCTCACATTTTCCACATAGTTTAATACATGTTATGATCCGACTGAGCACGTAGCCTACCTGTTTTCCTCCACCTGTCTGTTATGCTGCTCAATGGAGCGCCTGTACGCACGGTCAATTTGCGCAGCGACATTTACTCTTCCAAGTAAGCCCAGTTTAACAGCATTATCCAGATGACTCCCGCTACTTTCGTGTTTTGCAATCCTCTCAGAGAGATGTTTCAGGTCCTTGAAACCTGTCCTTGACCATGTACCATCTCCACCAAATAGCAGACAGGGGAAGCAGAAGAGCGCCTTCTTTTGTATGCTAACTGTTAGCCACTTTTTCCTTGAAAACCACTCCACGTTAAACCCACGGTTAACTTTACCGGCAGTCTGTGTGATGATAACATCCGTCGGCTGATGGGCACCAAGTCGCTTTATCTCCGATTTTTCCTCCAAAGTAAGGCTGTCAATCCTCCGGTTCAGTAAAGAGTCCGCCTCGTTCATTTTGGTTAGCTACAGTTTTCCCTCTTCTTGCCGGCTGTAACTTTACACTTACAAAAGTGTTTACGCCCGACGTCACAGACGGAGAGCCAATCAAATATGAAATGAAGCTGTCGTGGGGCTTCGGGCTGACTGCCCCACTGGTCAACAAATTCGTGTGATATAAATTAATACGAACACTCTGAGCATGCGCATTCATGTTTTCCCATGTACAGTATACTGCATCGAGAGCCAGGGGCATTCCCAGCAGTGCCCCACCTTCGCGCTTCCGTAGACATACTACAAACGCAAAATCAGGGGAACTGCGGTCTGAAGCAGCAAGGCAGGGACCAATAAACATGAACTAAAATCCTAACACAAATTATATGCAATTTAGAAATATGCTATATATTCGTATAAATTATAGAAAATAATAACCATTGATAATTAATATATTAACAGTCTGTCTGCGCATTTTAACAAGTGGGGCTCTGCCCCACCTGCCCCTAATGACCAGTCGCCACTGTATATACATACATACGCACATGTACCCGCAAACATAAATATGTACATACGTATGTATTCAGGTACATATGCATGTGTGTGTATGCATGTATATGCATATATGTAGCATGTGATTGTATTACATGTATATACCATATGCATATTTGTACTTATCTGGTTTTATTTGTCTGACTTAAGGAAATGAAAACAAGGGTGCGGTATCTATAAGCTCTGCTTCAGCCAAAACCCTTTTTGATCAGCCTATTTTATTTTTTCTTGTAATGATTGTGATTGTGATGATTTCTGCTGCTGCTGATCGAAATAAATTTACTCAGTCATTCATTTACTCTTGTGGGAGGACAGGGCTTAAATTGAAGGGAAATGTAGGAACATGACCTAATTTTGAAAATGTCCTAGAAATGTGGGAACATAGGGCCTAATTTTAAGAAAAATCTTAGAAATGTGGGAACATAGGGCTGTGGGAACATAGGGCCTAATTTTAAGAAAAATCTTAGAAATGTGGGAACTGTGGGAACATAGGGCCTAATTTTAAGAAAAATCTTAGAAATGTGGGAACATAGGGCTGTGGGACCATTGGGCTGTGGGACCATTGGGCTATGGGAACATAGGGCTGTGGGAACAGGGCCTAATTTTCAGTGAAAAAAAAATTCTTAGAAATGTGGGAACATAGGGCCTAATTTTGAGAAAAATCTTAGAAATGTGGGAACATAGGGCCTAATTTTCAGAAAAATCTTAGAAATGTGGGAACATAGGGTTGTGGGAACAGGGCCTAATTTTCAGTGAAAAAAAAATTCTTAGAAATGTGGGAACATAGGGCCTAATTTTGAGAAAAATCTTAGAAATGTGGGAACATAGGGCCTAATTTTCAGAAAAATCTTAGAAATGTGGGAACATAGGGTTGTGGGAACAGGGCCTAATTTTCAGTGAAAAAAAAATTCTTAGAAATGTGGGAACATAGGGCTGTGGGACCATTGGGCTGTGGGAACATAGGGCTGTGGGAACAGGGCCTAATTTTCAGTGAAAAAAAAATTCTTAGAAATGTGGGAACATAGGGCTGTGGGACCATTGGGCTGTGGGAACATAGGGCTGACCCCGAAAGCTACTGAGTGTTGAAGTGTGGAGTAGATGGCTGTGCGCTAACGTTAGGCTGTACACCCAGTGCTTAGCTAAAGGCCTCAGCTAACTGGCTAACCGAAGCTACTGTTTTAAACTGCTTTTGCTATGCGGTGTACAGTAAGTTAAACTGCTAGTCTCAGTAAGATGAATTTAACAGTTAAATTGTGGAGAATCTAACAGAGTTAAGATGTGCAGCATGTCCATATTGACAGAAGTTGACACATTACTATGAGTGATGCCCGAGCTAAGCAGCTACTGCCGCTAGCTCGCTAGTTAAGCAGCTACTGCCGTTAGCATGAGCGATTAGCTGACAGGCAACAGTCAGACCTTGGGTGGAAGTAAGAGCTGCATTTATTTGTCAAAATGTGTGGCTGTACTCAGAGTTTGATTGTGAATTGGCTTTTGAGGAGACCTTTTATGCTTTCTCCCTTTTCCTTTGTGTTTTACACAGAGTTATAGCTGTAGGTCTCGGCTAACCGGCTAACCAATGCAATTGTTTTGAAATGCTTTTGCTACGTGGTGTACAGTAGGTTAAACTGCTAGTCTCAGTAAGATGAAATTAACAGTTAAATTGTGGAGAATCTAACAGAGCTAACAATGTGCAGCATGTCCATATTGACAAAAGTTTCGACGTGTCTTTCTGTGATGTCTGATCTGAGCAGTTAACTGCTGCTAGCTCAAGCGATTAGCCGACAGGCAGCAATCAGACCTGCATTTATTTGTCAAAATGTGTGGCTGTACTCTGAGTTTGATTGTGATTTGGCTTTAAGTATACGTTTTATGGCAAATGTACAATGTGTTTGATTACTTGGAGCTCTGTTACATGAAGGCCGTCCACTATATCGTTACTAAACATGTTCGTCTGATTTATACAGCTGAGGAGATCGTCCTAATACCATGATACCGCCCAAGCCTGTTCTCAAGTTTCGGGTTCCCACGGTCATGGAATACCTGGAAAACTCATGGAATTTCACAATTTCCAGGCCTGGAAAGTTATGTAATTAATAAAAATCATTGAAAGTTTTGGAAAAGTCACGGCATTTTGTTGTGTGTAATTAAGTTGTTGCAGTAATCTTCAATGCATTACCTTCCAGATAATATAACATACCAGCAAGTATTTTCTGTAGCTGCCAATGTAACATAGCTCTAATATTCCTCTATGTGTGACGCTTGTTTACCATCAATATGTTTCTTCATTTTCTTCCCACTAGCTAAAATTATGTTTGAATAGAGTTTGAATCTGATCTGTGTGAAAAACACCTGCTAAGTGGGGCAAGAAAAAAAGATCAAAGGTCCTTGAAAGGTCAAATTTTGTCCATGAAAATGTTTGGGAATCCTGGTTAATGTTCATCTAAAGCACATAGGAGGTTGGATATTGTTAAAGAACAGCTAAATGTTTTCTTTCACCCCCTCCCTCTTAACCCTCAGGTTCGACTCCTCATAACTGAGAGTTAGACGAAAACTCCAGCTCCAGCTGAAGGTGAGAGCTCAGCTAAGGTGAAGTGACATTGATGCCATTTGAAAATTTTCATAACATGCATATAATATTCTCGATTAATTTGATGCATTTTCTATCTAACACTCATAGGCTTTTTTGTGATTATGCAGTTGACACACAAGTTAAGAATTTATAACAATTTGACCTGTGGACTTTCAGTGCATGCACATTTTTATATACATGACACATATACTTTGCTTCACACATTGCTTTTCATCTGTTTTATGTTGAATCTCTTCTGTGTGACATACAACTCCACACTGACAATGTCTTTAACTTGCCAGCAGGAATGCAGAGTGTCAGCTACGTCCGCTGTGTGAAGAGACTGTGGGGTCTAGCACAAGCATCCCGGCTGCAGAGATCCATATGTCAACTGCAACACAAAAAGGTATTGTCCAATTTTCAATTCACGGATTAGACATTTAGCAGATGTCCTTATCGGGAATTATAGGTAGAGTATTTTTGGGTGACATGCAGGAGACAAACTTTGGTTGGGGTAAGAAGACAGGGTTGGGTGCAGGTATTTCAAGTACTTAATACAAAACAGTGGACACTCCACCAATCATGACCAGTTAATGATATCATGGTAATGTCATTAGGGTTATCTTAGATTTGGCTTTACATTTAAAATTTTTAGCAAAATATCTTTGTTGCAAACTTTGTGGATAGTGATGTTAGACTCATGAACGAGTCATTCTTTTTGAACAACTCTTGAAGAGGAACTCAAATCACAAATGGTAGTAAATCCAAAGTCCTGCTTCTGTACAGTGCATGTGCCATTGTGCCTAACAGTCAGGTTAGCTCTTGTTTCTGTGACTTTCAAAGGACCAGAAAATAGCTGTGTGCCAACCAACCCCGATCTCCCTTATTAACAATCAATTGAAACAAAAAAATAGTAAATCCCTGTGCACAGCGGCGCAGTGCTTCTTCTAGGTGCCAGCTGGTGCAGGATAAATCACAGTCAAGAGTTCAAAAACTTCCAGCGCACACTAGAATATCAGGATTGACACAAAGTTTATTCAAAAATGTTTAACAACAAAAGGAGCGAACAACGCGTTTCGCTTGTTGCGTCATCAGATTCGCTCTTGATTGTCAAATCTTGGCAAATCTTCTTCTAATTCTAAAAAATGTTGCATAGCTTCAAGACCACCTATATGTGGAATGTTAGTATATAGGCTTTCCACATCGAAAGTTACCAAAAATGAATCTTTAGGCACTTTCAAACTAGACAATAATTTCAAGACATCACCAGTGTCTTGAATGTAAGAAGGCAAAGTCCCTACAATATCCTTAATGAAGTGATCAACAAACTTACTCAGTGGTTCAGATAAAGAATTTTTCCCTGCAACAATAGGCCTTCCTGGTGGATTCTCCATACTTTTATGGATTTTAGGGAGTAAATAAAATGTAGGTGTAACTGGGTGCTCTACTCTTAAATACTCATACTGAGCTTTAGTAATCCACTTCATTTCTAAGGCTCTATTTATGATTCTATCTCTATCAGCAGTAAACTGTCCGATGGGGTTGCTAGATAGTAGCTTATAAAAATCAGCATTACTCAATTGTCTCTCAGCCTCTGCAACATAATCAGTGGCATTTAACAGCACTATGGCACCTCCCTTATCTGCCTTTTTATTGACAATTTTTGGGTTAGACTAATTCTTTCAGGGCTTTCCTCTCTAAAAAACTAACATTAGAAAACTTAGATACAGGATTACACTTAATTACAGACGCAATATCGCTTTCCACTAATTTACTAAAGGTGGCTATAGTGGGATTAGGAGTGCCTGGTGGTGAGAATGTGGATTTCTTTTTAAATTTACTCTGATGTGGATTCGCATTTTCAGTTATATTGGAGTTACGGAAAAAATTTTTTAAATGAAGCTGTCTAAAAAATTTGTAACAATCTACCTTTAATTTAAAGGCATTAACTTTGTTAGTAGGTACAAAAGACAGTCCTCGATTCAACACTCTTAGTTGTTCATTAGTCAATTCGTGATCAGATTGATTAATTACCGTTTGTTCTGGCTGCGTAATGTCCATCTGCGGGGGCTTCGGCTTCCTCTTCCCCCTCCTTGTGCGTATCTTTTTTCTGGAGGCTGCTTTGGACGTCCTCTGGCCTTGTTTCCGACTCCTAAAAAATGTCCATCTGTTGAGGATTCACTCGTTTGTCCCTGATCACTCGTTTCTTCTTTACTTGTCAACAGGTGCTCTCTGTTGATACGCTGGTCTCGTCGTTTAAATCCCCTGGTCCATGTGTTCTTCTCCCTTCGGACTTGGTAATTATAGGTGTGGCAGATGCACCCATTGCTCTAACACGTATGACACCAAAGAGTTCTGTCATCCTCATACAGGGAAGAAGTATAAAATCAAAGAGTTCATTAATTGTATTTCTACACATGTGGTGTATATGCTCAAATGTCAGTGTGGACTTATATATGTGGGCCAAACCAAACGTAATCTCAAACTGAGAATAGCTGAACACAAAGCAGCTATAAGAAATGAAAATATGGACTATGCTATTGCAAGACACTACAAGGACAGAAATCATGGTTCGGCCTCCTCTCTTAAATTTATAGGTATTGAGAGAGTTAATCCCAATCCCAGAGGTGGTAACATCATTAACCAGCTATTGAAGAGAGAAGCCTACTGGATATACACCCTTAACTCTTTAGAGCCACATGGACTAAATGAGACATTAGACTTGAGTCCATTTTTGTAAGCTCATTATATGTCTAACTTTTCTCTGCTTCTGTGTCTGCAGGTAATGTATAGGGAAAGTTGAGCCACTTTCACCTCTCCTGGCACATCCCCCTCCCCTCCTCCCCTGTGTAGACAGGAATGCTAGAGTAGATATTGTAGATTGTGGAATAACCTTTGTAACTTCTGGAGTATCTCCTCTTTTGTTTATATCTCTTATATTGGCCCACTTGTTTTTGATATGTATTTCTAAAAA